CCAATAATTATATTGTGAAAAACTAAGCACAAAAGATAATTATAAATTTTCGCAAACCTTCTTTCATTGTTTGTTTTTTATGATATAAAAAACTAACAACGCATAATAATAAAAAAAAATTAATTCGAAAATGCAAAATAAAAGTCCATATGATTATGGACTTATAATCATATGGACTTTAAAAGAAAAAAATGTAAAGCATTTCAGTTTCCAATGATTTACATTTGTTACCTTAAAAAAAATGTCTTTGATTTAATGAAAACAAATAATATGCTTTTTATTTCTTTGTATTAAAGCAAAAGTAGTATAATAAATAACATATAGCATAGTAATAAAATAAATTATTACCAAGATAAACTATGAATTGCCAAAAATAAAAAACGATTTACAATTTAAAATAAATAACCTTAAAATATGTCTAAATACAAACAAAAGTATATTCGCATATAATCATAAAATAGGCCTAAGTGACTTAGAGAAATATATTTCTTCACATGATATGCTGCTGTTTAATGGTTTTTCATTAACAGTTTGACAGATTTTTATAAAGTTTTCGTTTTATAATAAAATTTGGATCGGGAGTGTTGAAAAAAAATTTAACTTTTGAAAAGGGCCCCAAAAAATGTTGCCCACCCTCTTCTTTTTGGGGTGTGTGGGGGAGCCTAGCCACAGCTCTGAGTATATATATATATATATATATATATATATATATATATATATATATATATATATATATATATATATATATATTATATATATATATATATATATATATATATATATATATATTTATATAACAATATAAAAACAACGAAGAAATGTGTTTCATCAACAAAGACTCATCAGAAAATCTGATGAGTCTTTGTTGATGAAACACAGTGTAAAATAAAAAAAAAATTCGTTAAGTGATTTTCTACTAATTTATATATATATATATATATATATATATATATATATATATATATATATACATACATACATACATACATACATACATACATACATACATACATACATACATACATACATTTATACATACATACATACATACATACATATATATATATATATATATATATATATATATATATATATATATATATATATATATATATATATATATATATATATATATATATTATATATATATATATATATATATATATATATATATATATATATATATATATATATATATATATATATATATATATATATATTTAAAAAAAAACAACAACAAAGAAATAAAAAATTATAATATTAAAAGAGAAAAAAAACAGCATATATATACACATATATATACATACATACACACATACATACATACATTAATGCTTCTATAAACACTGATCAAAAAAGTGAAAAAGAAAAAAAAATCTATCAACAGGGTATTAAGTAAGCTGCAAGTTAAGGCTAATATTCAAAGTATAATAAAATTAAAGTCTATGGATGGCAAATATGCTCTCTTAATTGTAATACTAATAGATAAAGCAAAAAGAAATTCAATTCTAAAAAAGTCAGAAGAATTAAAAGATTTAAAGTTTGTGAAAGTATTTATTAACCCGGATCAAACTGAGGCAAGAAGGTGCAAATCTAAGCTTTTAAGACATGAATGCAGATTAAAAATGCTGTAGCAATGACCATTACTACGGCATTAGAAGAAACAGTAGTAAAAATAAAAATAATATAGGAATATTAGGGGAAAATCTAAACCCAAACCATTGTTAAGAGTCAAAAACAAACATCAATTTATATTAGGTACAAGTATGTTAGAAATATGTTACCAATCGGTTAAGTAAATGTAGTTATGTTGTATTGATTGGAGTTTACATGCCATGCAATAATAGAAAAGCTGAAACATTCCAAGAAGCTGAAAAGAATTTGCAGTTTGAAACACAAATTATTAAGAGTTGAGCAACAATAGTAAATTAATTTTTATTTGCATGTCAGTGATTTTGAGATTTATACAGAAACAATAAGCATAACAATTTACTGATAAAACTGTTAAAGAAGCAAAAGTACAACCCATAATCATTCAATGTACAATGCTTAAAAGCCAATTAAATGATAGTGACCATAATGCCATACAAATAGCTATTAAAAATCAAAAAACAATCATTATATTAAAAAGTTAATAGACAACTAAAAAATAAAATAAACTGAAACAATAGATTTAGATTAGTTAATAAAAAATTGGCAATGAATAAAATTAATCCAATATACTCCCATATATTCTTGTTTTGCAGTGTTGTAGCAAAAAAATGAACTCAACTATTCCACTCAAACAACCACTCAAATTTATTGAGATTAATGCAATAAACTCACACCAATTCAATATCTGTCAGAATATCAAAGATTTTATTGATAAAACAAATATAAAATTACTTAAAAAAACCCTATCTAACCCAACACATGCAATAACTTAATAACTCAATAATTTCAAACCACAAGCAGAAACCCTGACAGATTTTTATATAAAACCAATACTGCTAACACTACATTGTATCAAAAAGCGTTTGTTTAGAAATATTTATGTATACTTCTTGAAGTATACATTATACAAATAATAGTAGCTCTTTTTGCTGATGATTTTATTGATACAGATTTATACTCCTGTCTTGAAAAATATTTTCATTATTTGTCACTTAGAACAGGCAGCCGATCTTGAATCTGAGCTCACTTCTGTAACAGATTGAGACTTGCAGTGGCTTGTGAGTTTTAACTCCAACAAAATCTAGTTGTTTACTGCAAACAACTATTGCAGTACTGTCAACATTCCTACATTGGTGAATGGCAACTCTCTCACTGAATCCTTTTTCTTCATGTCTTCTTGGATTATCATTCACTACTAACCTTTCAAGGAAATCATATATATAATCAATTACTAAATTACCATCTGCTTAGGTTACTTCTCTTTATCATGCTCACTATTTTCTAACTCCTGATTCCATTCTCTACCTCAATAAAATCTCTTATTCTTCCCTGTATGGAATACTGTTGTCATATTTGGGCTGGTTCTTGTAATGATGCTCTTCTAGACAAAGTGAAATCCATTATAAACATAGTTATGCCAAGCTTGAGCCTCTCTTCCATCGTTGTTAAATTCTCTTTCTCTTTTTCACAAGTACAATCATGATCTCTGGTCAAAGGAGCTATCATCTCTAGTTTCATCAACTAAAACTCATTCTTGCTTGACTCATTCATTCAGCAAAGTCTTATTCTTTTACTGTATCTATCCCTGCATGCTCTAAAAAATTTTATTCGTTTAGTTTTTTTCCCCACACTTTAACCCTTTGAAACTCTCTTCCATCTTCATGTTTTTTTAACTCATGCAACCTTCAATTTTTCAAGTCTTCTGTCAACTTTTTTCTTGCTCTATAGTTCTATTCTTTTTTTTCTATCAACTCCCAACTTAATAGTAGTTGCTTGCAGCAATAAAATCCTAAAAAAAATTTATTAAATATATTTTTAAATATGCTGGTTAGGCATTTTTGTGTAAATTCGAGCATATTTTAAGGTGTACTTATTGAAAAACATTGTTTTGAGAAAGCGCAAAAATTAAAGCAAAAATAACTAACAAGTCACAAAAACTCATATTCTTTTCGAATGGAAGAATCTTTTTCTTCTTCAGCTGGCTTTAATCAACTAACCCTTTCTTGGATGCTTTTAGGATTTTCCCTCATTTTAAACTTTGAGTAAAAACTTTGCTTAAGCTGTTTTCGTTTACAGACATCAAAAATAGTTTAAGATGCATCATTGAATTTATTGAAATATGACAAAACTGCACAAGCTTTAACTTTATTTTGTAAATTAATCCATGTAGTAAATTTAAAAACATGGTTAAACAATGTAATGTAAACTTTGCTAACTAATCCATGAAATAAAATCAATTTTTTAAGTGATAATCAATATTTTTATCTGCATTCCAAAATTTTATACAATTCGCAGTTCTCTGACAATACATGAATACCATTTTATTACTGTTATGAGGTTTTATAACTATTCAATGATGAATGGCCTTTTTTTTCTAATTTTTAAGTTTCTTTAAGCAGCACAAGCCATAAATAATACTGCAACAGCTTCATATGCTTTTAGAAGTGTTTATTTGGTGGCACGAGATCAACATACAACATACTTGTACTATAAGTAAAAGAAATATTACAACTTGAAATGTTACAACTTCATTCATAAGTTTTTTGAATTGATTTGTACCTTCTACTTCCTATGCGTATACTTTTCTTTGCTGCAGGATTTGATGTAAAGAGCAGCTACTTTTAAACACACAGCTTTTAACTTTAAAGTTTAATTTATGAACAACTTTGCATTCTTGAATGTCAGCTAATGGTAAACATAAATTTTCAAAAATTTAATGTTTACAGTATTTTAGTTTATAGTAAAATTGTAATTATTTGGATCTTCTACAACTTTTTTTTATGAGTGTTGATTGCCTCTAAAATCACGAGAATTAAATTCTTCATAAATTTATTCAAAATAATAAACTTTTTAACTGTTTCTATATGAACCACATTAACAGATAAGTGTAGTTAGCCTTGTGTTAAAGCTTTTTAAACTAATGCACATTTGTTTGACCTACAAGATGATGTCGGAATAACAATTTTTACATCATGATGTCAATCAAACAATATTTATTCTACAAAATGATCTATGTTCTTAAAAGAACACAGCAATAATAAATTAGTAGAAAATCACTATCAATTTTTTCATTTTACACTGTTTTTTATCTATAAAGACTTATCAGAAGTACACTTCTGATCAGTCTTTCCGTGATGTCATATTAATACTTACTTTAACTAACATTACGGTAAAACATAACGCTATTCATATATACACAAATATATAAATAATTTCGGGGATCATAACGCATAAGACATATTTTACTAACATAAGGGTAAACATAATGCTAAATTTTTTACTCATCATTATGTAACCCTTATGTTAGCTTTACATTTTTTAATGTGTATATATAATTTGTGTTAAAGGCACACACCAACAATGATTCAAAAGTTAGAATCTGCTGGATTGGGCTACAATGTTAAATCTCCATATGAAAAAATTGGTATGTTATTTAATGTGATTGTTCTAATGGATTGTTTTTTTAAAATACATTAATGTCCCTAAGGCCCCTCTGAGCTTTGGGGAGGTAAATACAGTAATCACGGAGACTCATATTTTTTCTTTTGTTATTATTTTTACATAACTGTTTTTATCTCTCCTAATCTTATGACTCCAAAACACAAACCTTGACAAGTCTGCTGTGTGAGAAGTTAAGTGAGGTTCATCCATTGACATGTTATGTATAAACTCTGTACCTTTCATATACAAAGCACTTAATTACTACCACTGTTTCATACTTTACTTGCCATAATGCATTTTGTGGATCTACACTTAACTATTTGAAAATAATAATTTGTACTTAAACTTGTTCATTTAAACGATATATAAAAATTAAAAAACATAAAGCTGAGAAAATTTATAAAAGTTTTTATCTTTATTATTTTGTAACTAATGTAAAATATTTAAGATATTATGCTAGTGATTTATACAAAACTTTTTCTCAGTTCAATGAAGGGCTTTATTACTAAAAAAAGGCTTATTTAAAGAATTATTTTATTAGATTTTTTAGGGAGACAAAACAATCAGGAGTTTAGTTTGATTTTATTGGAAATATTAATAATCAAATGAAAAAATTAAGTATTTGTTAGAAGAAAACTGTTTACTTTATTTATTTGGTCATTCATTTTTTGGTGAGCCTTTTTAATAATAGTAATAATGATATTATTTTGTAAATGATTGTATTTATCCTTGGGCATTATCATTACATTTATAATTGGACATTATCATTATCATTTACAGTTTTTAGTTTGTGATTTTTTTGACTAGCAATAAAGAAGCTAGCACTGTAATTATTTCAATTTATTCTAATTTTTGGTACAGTCATTATAACTATGATTATGGGTAGTTTAACCTAAACAATTTGGGTTTTCAATGTTTAAATTTTGTAAACACTACTAATGCACCACACTTTAACACAAATATTACAATACTACTTTTGCAACACAATGTAACAACACTATTAAATCAAACTTACATTTGGTTAAAAAAGATAATATTTGTGGAACTGATTAAATTCATTTTTCACACCCAATATGTTCATACATTTAGAAACTTAACCAATTGGGTTCGATGTATTTAATTGTTATTATGATAAACATAATAGTGGTAATAATTATATTTAGGTGACATTCCTTTGAGACAATTGGTGTACCGTGTACATCCATTACCAAAAAGCATGATTCCTCTTATATGGGATTTTGGTCAATTAAAACCAGAAACAGAGGAAACTTATGCTAGGCAATTAATAAAATGCTATGTAAGATTTTTATTTGTAATACAATTTAGATTATGTCTTTATATTTTTTTTATATTTCTTGTATTTCGATACTTTATTTTGAAGAATTTGTTGTTTGGTTTAATTTTGTAATTGTTAGGAATTACTTTGATTTTTAATTAATATTACTAACTAATCAAATGTTAAATGATAAATTACCAACTTGAAAACTAATAAAATAATCAGGTAACTTAAATAAATTTTATAAATATTTTTTAGTTAATTTTTTATGTGTTTAATGATGGATAGCATATTTTTGCTGTAATATTTATAGATTAAGGAGAAAGCTTTGCCAGATGAACCAATGTTTTTTGATCTTCTTGTTAAAGTTCTATCAGAATCTCAAGTATATATGAGAAAGCAGCAGGTCTAAAAATTTATTTATGTATACTGCTTAAATGTTATCATTGGGATTTTCCATGTTATTTAATTAATTTATCAGAATTAATATTGTATTGATTATTTTATTGTAATATTTTTAATTTTTTGTTGCATTCACTTGATTTTCAGATCCCATATGCTTTATTACTTAAAGAGTCCAGGGGATAAAATGAGTCACATTTTACTAGTTTCAAAACAAAATGAACTATGGTCTTTTTTCCATTGCAAAACGTGTTTCAATGGAAAAAACATTGTAAAACTTCTATTTTTTATTCATTTATAATAAGAATACCATAACAAATAATTTTTTGCATTTTTTTTAATGCCAAGCGCATAGTTCACGTTTACATTAGACAATGCGAAACTTGACAAACGTTGTTTACAAATCATGTGAATGATTTGAAAAATTATACATTTGCTGTCTGTAAATTGGGTCAATATTTGAATTCTGCTAGTTTTAAGATTAGTTTAAACTCATTAAAGGTAAACTAAGTTCAACAATGTTTGAATCCCCAAATAATAAATTTAAAATTACAGGTATTCCTAGGATCAAGTGATAATAATATTCTAAATTATCTATTAGGTAAGTTATAGAAATGCAAAATCCAATGCACTGTGCCAAACTACCACATGCATAAGTTTATATTTTTGTTTACCAAATCACATTTACAAAAAAAACCTTTCCCAATAATAATACTTAGCTTAAAAATTGATTGTAAACTACTGTCATAAAGAACTGGGTATTATAGTGGGCTATAGTGGTACTATAGTGGATCCTTTTATTTTTCTATCATTTTCAACATAAAATTATCTCCAATAAAAAATAAGTGTAACTAGATGAAGTAATTTCAAAACACTATAAAATAAACAACAAAATAATATATTTTTTTGCAAGCAAGAGAACTTTTTAGTAAAAAATTTTATATTTATTCAAAATCATCCTGGTCATATTTGTTGTCATGGTATGGCAGTGAATTGCAAAAATCAGACTTTTTAAGTACCTGAAGATTTTACTTTTTAAGTACCTGAACTTTTTAAGTACCTGAACTTTTTAAGTACCTGAACTTTTTAAGTACCTGAACTTTTTAAGTACCTGAAGATCTTTAAATTTATCCATTGGTATACATAGTCTCTCAGTATACAAGTGTAAAGGGTTTTCTAATAATTGCAGTTTTCTTTTACCTCCTACATTTCTACCAATAAATGTATTTAAATAATCATCTTTCCAAGAGTTTCTATTGGACATATTTCCAGAAGAATAAACAGAAAAAGTACTTCTCGAAGAGGTCTTGTAGCTACAGTACTCCTTACCCTGTATTGAGGATTTAAGAAATAAGTCATATTTTTGAATGTGACTTGCTTAGGTTCAAATACATGGAAAGGAGTTTTTTACAACCATCTTTAATTATCTTAACCCTAAAAAAAGGTATATTGATATGAAATTTGCAGTTAATGAGACCCATATCTTTTCCATACTCCAAGTAGGAATGATTTCTTTCAGGAAAAGTAACCTTTACAGAGTCAAATCTATTTTGATGTTGAACCATGTAATCCAGAAACCATAAGATGGTATAATTTTTATTTTAACCAGCACAAGAATCACAGAACAAATTTATGTTCTTTATCTGATGGACTTAATAATGAATAAAAAAAATTATGTTGTATTAAGGCCACTTTATCTGCACCCTTTTTAGCAACAGTTTTATCATAACTATAGATAAAAACATCTTCTCTAGGCAACAAATTAATGTTAAATGAAAAAAATAAAAATTTTCTTTTATAATAAAAATACTTGATAGAGTTGTTTGGCATATTTAAATTTTTTTGATAGTCATAAGCAATGGCTTCAGAATTTTTTTCTCTCAACTCTTTTAACCTTGATTCTCTTTTTCTTTTATTAAAAGTTTCAGCTTTTTTTGGTACCAATCTTTTTCAAACTCAAGCTTTTGAATTGATTGACTTTCAAATCTTGTGCTTCAGGATTAGCTGAGATATCTTTTGAAAAAATATCATTTTTTATTTCAAGTCCATTGCGCTTTGAACATGTATTTATTCAGGGATAACCAAAGGCAATATTAAATTTGCTGTTAAAAGTCTTACAGGATTCATAAATTTTTACATTTGGGCAAAGGATCATAAACAGGTTTAACATTTTATTTATATTCAGTTCTTCAGGTAAATAAATGTCTAGTTTTTTCTTGAGAATTGTGAAACTGCCTTCCTCTGAATGATGAAATATGGTTTATAATTTTATTATGTGTATCATCTATAATTTTATGCTTTCTCAGAGAATGTTTTCCTCTCAAATCTTTTGGTGGCTGACCTAAAACTATATTGTTAAATTTAATGATTGTTTATAAAGTTAAGTTGTAAAATTGTATTCTAAAAATATTATTTTTAAAACATTAATCTCATTTATCTATCAAAACTAAACTACTTTAATTATCAAAACTATTATGCTTCTAAACAAAATTCCTATAAAATAAAACAATGTACCTGTAATTAATACACTTCTTTTTTGATCACAAATATAGAAAGTAATGCTTTGAAACACACTTTAACAAATTGATGGTTAGCATTATTAACAATAATTTATGTTTGTAGCTAAAACTATTTTTATATTTGGTCTTATATTTATGTGGTCTTCTTCTAATTATGTTAGTAACCACAAGTTACCTGATAGAAATAAATATTTTCTTTTTTTGTTTTGATAGTAACTTCAGTAGGTACATCATTATCAAGTTGTTTATTTTTAAAACAAATCATTGGATCCCAAGATCATGTGACTACAAATATTTTAAGGTTATGTGACTTTTACTTATATTGTAAACAGTAGACAAAGCTGTTTTTTCCTGGTTTTTTCTTTTTAGTTTTTTTTCTTTTTCATTTTTCATGTTTTTTCATCTTGATTTATCACTCAAGATATAATTCAAAAGGTAATTTAGGAGACAAGCATGAAATTTTTTTAAAATTGAAAATGTGACTGTACCCTTTTTTTGCCTGGACTCTTCAATTTATTAGGGAGTATTTTTTTTTTTTGCTCATAATAAAAATTAAAAGTTAAAATCTTACATTTTAAGTTTAAATGTTAAAAGTCAAAATAGTCTTTTAATTTTAAATTTTCTTTTTTAGGATGAATGTCATTTTGTTAGCCTAAGAGATGTGGAGAGGGTTTTAATGGCAACTTCATGGTTTTATAAAAAAAATGAGATCTTAATGCAAAACATGGACATTTCAAACACTAATTCTAATCTTTCTGAACCTGTACTTTTAAATTTTTTTTTTTCCTAATATTTTTGTTTAGTTAATGCAAAACATTTTCTTTTTTACCAATTTAATGTTTAAAGTTTAAAATAAATTTGTTATAGTCTGAATATGAAAAAATGTGTTTGTCTTTAATATACGCATTACATGTCTGCTACATAGCAAAGTTGGAAGATAGAGATTTGTATAGGAAACACATATCTAAGTATATTACAGCACCAGGTTTTGCATGTGATGCAAACCGAATTAAAGAAGAAGTTCATAGGTGTGGAGTTAGTACTATATAATATAATTATCTATTATCTGGCTTTTAACATTTCTTTAAATATACATATATTAACATTTACAGATTCTACAAGTTTAACTAAAATGAAATTTTAATTAAACTTGTAGTGAAACACTGCAAATTTTTAAATCCAATCAAAATAACTCAAGAAACTTTATTTTTTTAAGTATATATATGTTTCCTAAGTTTGATATTTAGTTTTTACTATAAATTTTTTTGAGACATTTTAAGAATTAATTGATTCTTTTAAAACATTTAACTGTAATACTTATTTTTTAATTTATATTAATATATAGATCTTTATCTCTAGACTTCAAAAAAGTTTTTTGAATGGTATTGATCTTGAAGAAAACATCGCACAAAATCAAGCTTTATGTGAGAATATTTTTATGATGGTTATTTGTGTTGAGTTGCGTATCCCTTTATTTGTTGTTGGAAAACCTGGAAGTTCAAAGTCTTTAGCAAAATCAATTGTGCAAGATTGTATGCAAGGAAAAATGTCAAAATCATTTCTTTATAAAAAATTTAAACAGGTGAATATTTTTGATATGTTTAAGTATTTATGCAGTAGCAGTGCAGTGATAGAGCACTCGCTACATAAGCAAGAAGTTCCATGTTCATTCTGTGCCACATCCCTGGTAGCACCATGCTCAACTTAATTCTCTGGCCAGTGGCTTTGTTTTTCAAAGTTCTTGTTTCAGAAATAAAGAGTTGAGAAAGGGTTATAACCACAATAAAGTAGCTTCCTCAACTGTAGTCACCCTCTCGATCTTGGAGATATGAATGATATAAAAAAAAAAATTGTATTTTTTCTTTGTGCTTTTTTTTTTTTTTTTTTGTAATTTATTCACAAGTCTGCAAGCAACCATTATTTAAGTTGTGAGTAATTAGAAAGCACAGAAAGGAGCTAAAGAGTAAAAAAGAGATCAACAGAAGACCTAAAAAACTGTAAATTGTAGAAGCCAGAAAAACGTGAAGACAGAAGAGAATTTGAAGGCATGTTCTTCAAAGAAAAAAACTAGGTTAAAAACTGAAAAACAGTAAACGCAATGTATGTTGCACAATATGCCATAATGGAATGTGACTTTGCCAAATAATGAGTCATATGAGATTGAGTTTTGTTTGATAGAATAAGTAATAATAGCTTGCTTGAGCAGTCACTGTGGGGTTATCCACAAGTTTTTTTATGTTGCGATAAAAAGAAATAAAAATTCAAAATAATATATTAACTGCAAATAACAATGATACTTAATACACGAAAAATATGTTTTGAAAAAAAGTATAAAATGTTAAAAAATCCAATTATCTTGCGCCATAGTTTAAACCTACATCTTTGCATTTCTGTTACTAGTAATCACAACACTCTATTAACTTAAAATAACAGAAATATTAGTTATATACTCATTATAAATCAAATATTTCCAAAGGTTATTCTTCCAACCAAAACCATCAAAAGTTGCAAGTTGTAGTTTATGGTTGACCCCAATGATCAGCCATAATTTACCTCACAATTGGAAAAAAACAATTGGACAAAAGTTCAAGCTTAAAAAAAAAGAAAAGCTTAAAAGAATAAAAGAAAGAGAAACAGCATCAAATTAGTACTAAAATAGAAAACACTATAAAGAGACAAAAACTTAGCAGATATTAACTTTCCAATCAAATGATGATATGCAGCTTCCATGAGAAGGTATTAGTTAAAGATAATATGAAAAAAGGAAAGCAGAAGATTCAGTATGTGTGCTGTCATTCATCCATAAAGGAATATCAACAGTATTGTAATAATTCAATTTTTCAAAATGCACACTGCACTGTACAAAGCAAAATATGACTCACTGTTGTGTGCAGACAATCTACGAAACTGCTGATTTGTAACTTGAAGCAATACATGATATTATTTTACATTTTTTTCACTGATGCACACAATTAGCTGAGCTGATTAAAATTAACAAAAATAGTACCTCTTGCAATGAAAAAGTTGATTTATTATTACTAGTTAGCGCCCTATAGGGCATAAATAACTATTTACATCGATTTAGACTAAATTTTTACGAAACAACATCAACAACATAAAAAATAAATACATGTTATTCCCGACTGTTGTCTGCTAAAATTGGCTAGAAATACTTTAAATGATATTGAGATATTTGTAGACGGAGATGGAAATCATATAAAATGGAGCTATATAAAAGCTTTGCATGATATTCAAGAAATAGAAAGATTAAAATTTGCTAACAAATATATATGTATCTGGGCAATTTTGTTATGAAGAAACAACTAATTTGTAAACTAAGTGATGTACGTCTCATCAAACAAGTGTGTGTTTTTTATTAGTATTCATTGTCACAATTTTTTTCTTAAACAAATTTTAAAATATTAATCATGGGTTGATTACTAAATATAAGTTAGTTTGCAAAATATAAATTTACAAGTATACTAAATAGTGTTTTTTAACCTTTTTTTTAAAATGTAAATCAATATTCTTAGGTTATTAGAAAAGTTTGTAGAACTTGTAGAAAATTTGTAGTTTAGTTTAGTAGTATATAAAGTTTGTATAGTAGTATTTAGTGGTATAGAAAATTTGTAGTTAAGTTTTGTAGTATATAAAGTTTGTACAAAAGTTTGTAGAATCTGTAAAGTTTTAAAGGACAAGAGATAATTGTTTATGTATAACCTGAAGCTGTAGTAAATTATAAACATTTAAAGTACTTAATAAAATTTTTTAAATGTGTATTAAAAAGTTATTTAAATTTTATTAAACACATTTTAAAGAGAAATTTAAAAGTTGAAAAAAATTGAATGGCTAATATATATTAAAATCTGTGCTCTACTTGGAGTTTCAGCACAAACCATAACAAATGAATTGTTTTTTTTTTTGTTTTTTATTCTGCTGATTTACTCCCATCAAGGCTGCAAGCAACCACTATTAATTTGGGAGTTATGAAAAAAAAAAGAATAGAGTTACAGAGCAAGGAAATGGTTGATAGAAGACTTAAAAAGTTGTAGGTTGTATGAGTCATGGAAAACATGAAGATTGGAGAGAGTCCAAAAAGGTTGAAGTGTGGGGGAAAAAGATGCAGCTTTACAATTATGGAAATATGCTAACCAATCAAATTTGAAAGATTTGAGTTTAGGCAGATAAAGGAAATTTAACATATTCAGAAATGGCCCAATTTATAATAAGCAATAGGTTTGAGCTAAAAGAAGTTTCTAAACCTTTTTTAACATTCTACAACTGTTGTTCTTTTGGGTTATGTTAAAAAAATATTTGAAACTTATTGTATGCAAAATAAATAAACAAAGGCATGTAAAAAGCACTCAAAAGTTTAAATTTTTTCATGATAACACTTTTTTTTTTTTTTTAAATTTTACTTTCAACAAGGCTGCAAGCAGCTACTATTAGAGTTTGAAATTATTGGGAGAGAAAAGATGAACTTTATAAAGCAGGTTAACGATTAACAGACAGTTTAGAAAATTGAAAATTATATGAATTAGGAAAAAAACAAGATGAAGAGAGAAAAAAACTAGACATATATGAAATTTTGGAGCACTTGACCCAGTATTACTCAAGCTGTCATAAATTATTTTAACCAAGGCAGAATCCAAATTATTTGCGACTCGCAGTACTCACAAGACTTAGCTCTGTCTGAAATTCAGCTTCATAAAAAGATATGTGATAATTATACTGATGTAAAAATTTTAAAAATTAATTTCATGGTATAATTTAAAGTTTACCCTAAAAAGAGTACAAAAAAACCTTTGAAAAATGGCTTGAAAGGATGTAACTTTGTATAGATAATCAGAAACATTATTTTGAACATTTAGTAAAATAAAATTAAAAAAAATTCTTTTATTTTAATACAGAATTTTTTCTAATGATCTTGCGGTAGTGGTGTAGTGGCAGAGCTTAATTTAAATAAAGTAAAATAAACTAAAAAAATAATTACTACATACGGTAGGTGTGTAGTGGTAGAGCGCTTGCTTTGTAAGCAAGAGGTTGCGAGTTTGATCCCACCATATCCTTGGTAGTTTTGCACTTAACTAGTTTCTCTGCGCAGTGGCCTTGTTTTTCAAGGTTTGTGCTTTGGAGTTATAGAGTTGAGAGAGGGTTATAAACACAATTAAGTAGCCTCCTTGCTTGTGGTGGCCTTCTTGGCCTTGGGGAGGTGAATGGTGAATTAACAAAACAAAAACAAAAAAAATAAAAAAAGTATTATGATTAATAAAAATGTAAATTAAGGGAACTTACCCAGAAAGTAATCTCAATAAAATTAGATAAATAATATTTTAAAATCAAATTTTAAAAATTAATCTGGTAAAACAAGTTAATCCAGAATAAGAATTTTTAGTGTTAAATATGATCATTTAATATCTGAGTATTGGTTTGTGAAAAAACTTATAGACATTCACGGTTTTTAAAAAAAGAATAATGAAAAACCAAATATTTTTTTTTGATTTAATAAATTTATTTAATAATCTTTGAAGATATTTAATTTATAATCAATATATAGTTATAATATTTCCATTATTATAAGTTAGCACAGTGTCATAGGCTAGTATTCTTGTAACATGAATAGAGATATGCAGATTTTACTTAATTTTCAAATTTAAAAAATATTTATGTTCTATGCTTTTATTGTTATTTTAGTATATCATTATTAATTTTCATTTAATAATTTAATAATTATATTACTATTATTATTATTATTATTTATATCTTCATAGATAACAGCAGCAGTAAAAGATTACTTCATCTGTCCAACAACATCTGTAGAGTAGTCCATGATTGTCTGTACACTTTTGTCTAAGATCATCTGAATTTTTTTTTTACTCCAACAGCATTTGTCCAATATCATCTAGAAATTCAATGACCCTTAACAATATTTTTAGAAAGGTGTGCTAAATGTGTTAATTTTCTCCAAGTCCAATAACATTTGGAAGAATTTCCTCCAGATAAGAAATAAACCATATATGAAACTATATCTGATTCAAATAATGCATTCATATTTAATATTTTTTTCCAGATGTAGCTACTTCTAAAAGAAACCATATATGAAACTACATTTGGTTAAAACGATGCGTTTATATTTCATAGTCTTTTTTCAGGATGTAACTACATCTGAAAAAAACCATGTATGAAACTGCATCTGGTTTATATAATGCATTATAATTTAATAATTACATAAAATCCTGTAGTTATATTTAATACAATTGAAAAGATATAACTACATCTATAAAGTTCACAGATGCAGTTGTACAGATGTAGTTATTCTTATCATAATTGAAAAGATGTAACTACATCTGTAAAATCTCCAAATGTAGTTGCACAGATGTTATTATACTTAGATAATTAAAAAGGTATTTTGGTCAGGTCAGGTTTATCCTGCTACTGGTAACACGTAACCCAGTAGAATCTGCTTCGTGTCCTGCTGCCTTGTAGGATATGCCTTTTTAGGCGAAGACTAGGAGATGCAAACTCAGACATAAAACACCCTGCCTTGGGGCTTTTGGTTGAGTAAAGGCTAGAGATGGTGTC